GCTTGAGGAAGGGGCCTGGGCAGGGAGCCAGAGACCATTCCCCCTGTGGGGTCTTATTCCACCATGCAGCGGGGCCCCTGTACCTACCCCGGGCTGATCTGAAGGGGAATTTTCCTGGTAACAAGGCAGTTGCTGTTACTATCTCCGCTATTGTGTGTGTGTGTGTGTGTGTGTGTGTGTGTTTCTAGGAAATTTACCAAGTTTTGGCCCAGGGGTTTACATTTCTCACCCCCTAGCAAAAGCTTTCACTATTCAAGTTCCAAATGGAAGCCACTGAGGCTATAATTACATCGGCATTAGCTCAGGAACATGCTGAGAGGAGCGGGAACCGAGCACCTGGGGAACCTAGAAGCAGCTTCGGGCCTAAATTAGCTGCTGCTCTGTTCGCGGCTGTCGCCCGGCATCTCTCTGGGGTCCCTCTCTGTCCTTGTTCTCCTCCACCTAGGCCCCAGGCTGCCTGGCTCTTCCCTCCCACCAGCCAGCGTCCTGACAGGTGCACAGAACATGAAAGGACAAGCTGGCTGGCTGCAGGGACCCTCCTGGTGGGAGGTGTCACAGAGCAGCCTTGGCCCAGCAGGCCTGCTTGGGTTCTTGCTGGTCGGGGCCTGAGGTTTGGCAGTTGCCTGGGAGGTGACTAGGAGGTCAGATGCCCATCTTGGCCACTGCAGCATCTCTCTCTGCCCACTCTGCAGCCTCCATCTCCAGGCTCCCGGAACACTGTCCTGCTCTCAGCCTGTGCTTTTGTGGTCCTGTAACAGGGTGGTCCCTAGGCAAAGGGGAAGTTCCAGGTTCCCTGCCCCACCCAGAAGGAGGGTGGAGCTGAGCAGAGAAAAAGGAGAGAAGAGCAGGAATCAGAGAGAAGAAAAAAGAAGGAAGCAGGATGGAGAACAAGAAGGACCTGAGGAAGCCACATGGAGCAGCAAGCATGTGAGGAAGAAACCGGGTTTGTTTCCTGGCCCTCGACTGGCTAAGGCAGATGTGGGTGAGACACCTGTAGGGAGGTGACTATGGCAGTGTTTATATTGATTTTGATTTTGCTCTTTTGTTCTCAGATTTGTCTGGCCATTTCTGACCCTTTCCCATGGGTCCCGGCCAGAAGGTGCTTTAGTCTAATGACAGGCTTTCAGGCCTTGCCTTGGGCCAATCCCTTTTGGGTTGACTTTTGCCCACGAGGGGATGGGACACTTCAGGTGTTGATTTAGACATTGCATCCTTTGTCTTCTGTATTGTATACTCACTGTATTCAAGTCCCTTTTCACTAACGTCTTATGTTTTGTGTTGACGCAGCGGATGGCAGAACCCACTTAGAGCAGGCAGGTTTGGGGCTTCAGGGATGCCCTCTCTCCCTGTCCTGTTACAGATTTGGTGTCCTGTAACAGTCCCTCCTCCTGAGACCTCTGCTCTTCCCTTGGCGTCTCTGACTCATCCTGCAGGTTTCAGTTGTCGCTGCTTCTGTAACCCCCAGGGTGGACTCCTGCACACCCCCTTTGTTTCCAGGAAGGTGCCTGGCACATAGTGGGCCTTCAATGAAGATCTGATCGATTGACTATGAGAACAGACCTCGATTCCCTGTTATTTATACAAGAAGAGAGGGACTTCTCTTTCTGCCTGTGAGGCTGTTGCTGGCCTGGCAGGGTGTTGGGGTGGTGGCTCAGTTTTCCTTGATCATCCCGCAACTCTCACTTGGAAGCCCAGACCCCACATCCACACTACACTGTCCATGTTGACCTCTGTTCATGACATTTTGTCAGTTTGGCCTGGTTCATGAACGTTCATGAACTAAGCATCGTTCTGGCTAACAGTGTCTGTGGGGGGTCAGGAAGGACGCGTAGATAAGGGGACATCTGAGCAGAGACCTGAGTGAAATGTAGAGAGGGGCCATGTGGTCTCAGGGGTTTGGGGAGAGCCTTTCCGGCAGGGCATGTGGCAAAGGCAAAGCCCTGAGGTCAGGCTCGTTGTCATGTTCTAAGAAGAGCAGGAAGGCCAGAGTGGTGGGAATGGACTAGGGTGAGCAGGGGCAAGAATAGGAATTAAGGTCATTTAGAGCAGCAGGAGCTAGTAGAAATATCATACTTCATACATGTAACTCCAAATTTTCTAAGGGTCATATTAAAAAAGCAAACTAAATTAAATTTTTAAAAAAGATTTATTTATTTATTTTATGCATACAGAACTGGGGTACAGGCCAGAGGCTCAGGGGCAGTGAGAGGCTTCACCAGAGACAGAGTGGGGAGCAGAACAGGCAGATAAGATGAAGTGCACTGCTGAGGGGAGCAGCGGGCGGGTCAGGAGAGGTCTGCCATGCCATGTGGTCTCCTCCGGGGCAGGCGGGAATCGAACTCATGCGGAAGTGGCTTATAGCTTCTTAGTGCTGTGCCTCAACCCGCTGCGCCACCAGGGAGGGCCCAAACTAAATTAATTTTAATAGTACATTTGCTTTACACAGTATATCTAAAGTATTTTGTTTCAAAATGTAATCAGAATAAACAATATTAAGGAAATACTGTATGTATTTTTTATTTACTAAGTTTTCAAAAAATCTGGCATGAATTTTCAAGTTGGTGTGCATGTCTTGTGTGGGTTAACCATATTTCGGGTTCAGTGGCTACGTGTAGCTAGTGGCCTCCATGTTGGTCAGCACAGATACATCCCCTCATCGGCTGTGCCGATGCCTTGGAAATGGATGGGGACTCAGGAACCCCATCTGTCTGACTTAGCTTCTAGAAGTTTCTTGCAGCTGTAGTGTAGAGGATTGCTAGGGGTCAGGAACAGAGCCTGGGGACTGGGAAGGTGTTCTCAGCCTACAGAGATGGTGCCTGACTGAGGGCTGATGATGAGGAGTGGTCAGCTTCTATGTATATTTTGAAGGTAGAACAGCCAGGATTTTCTGATGTGGAGCATAAATGGGAAAGGATCAAGGAAGGACCAAGCTTTTCAGCCTGAGCTACTGGAAGGAAGCGTTTCTAGAGAGATGAGGAAGACTGGGGTTTAGGGCAGCCTAAGGGGGCCTGTGGGGCCTGGTTTGGATGAGATGCTGGGTGTTGGTGGTCAGGTGCTTGCTATATGAATCTGGGGTTCAGGGTGGAGGTCTGACTGGGAGCATAAGTGTGAAAGTTGACAGTGTATTATTCATGTTGAAGATTGTGAGGTCGGGTAGCTTGGGACCTTGGGGGGGAGGATCAGCACTTGGAGAGAAGAGGGGTGCCGAGTAAGCCCTTTTGGAGAAGGTAGTCCAGTGAAGCAGGCTGAGGAGGGCATGCAGGGAGCCAGAGAGAGAGAGGAAGGTCATGGGGAAGCGGGCTGGGGGAGTGGCCACTGTCTGGTGCTGTTGATGAACTGAGGCGGGAGAGGCTTGGAGGACTTGACCACTGACATTGGAGAGGGTGGGCAAACGCCAATTTGCAGTAAGTCCAGGAGAGAGTGGAGCAGGGGAGAGACAGCTGGTCTACACAGTGGTTTTGAGGAGTTTTGCTTTAGAGCAGAGCAGAGAAGTAGAGCAATAGCTTGACATTGGCACATGACCACAAGGTGGTCTTCTGTCTTCATAAGGATGGGTAATGTGATAGCTGATGGGCTTACCTTGTTGGGGGAGAATAGAAGCATGAACTGGCTCCTTCATGCTCATGACAACACAGCAGTGGGTGCTATTTGGTAGACTAGGAAACTGAGGCAGGGAGGCTCAGTCACTTGGGGAAGACTATGTAGAACCAGTGGCAGGGCTGGGAGTTCAGTGCTGGGGTCAGCCCTAGCCAGCATGCTCTGAGAGCTCCTCAGGCTCTGGCTTGAGCTGCTCTTTGGGAGTGGGGCCTCCTCTTCCAGCACAGCATGAGTGGAGAGGCTGCCCAGAGCAGGGACTTGGGACTTGAGCACCGTGTGATCAACACACTGGGGTGCTTGCTGGAAAATGCTGGTGGGGAGCTTGGACTCAGCCTGCCTACCAATCCTTCCCCCAGTGTGCAGGGCACCCCCAGAAGGGTGGTGCTCAATATTGAAGAGCATGTGCTGGGTGTGTGAAGAATGACTGAAAAGACGGTGGCCCCTTTAACACCTAAGCTGGTGGTTCTTTCTGGTGCTGGCATGATCTGAACCCCTTTGCTGGTTTCTGCCAGCATGCGGGGTGGCCTTGGGCAAGCTCATGCCCTCCCAGGGCCTCAGCTTCCTTGTCTGTAAAATACAGAGGTTGGGTTAGGTCATCTTCCATCCAGCTATCAGAGTGCCTCTTAGGGGGATGTGTGCAGACTGAATTTCCTCCTCTGGCCGGGCCTGCAGCCATCAGGATGGACAGGGCTCTGTGGGTCAGGGGGGCATGAAGGGTCAGAGGGGCCCTGTGTCATGTGCTGCTCTCAGAACAGCTGGGATTCACGAGGTGAATCCTGCTTTGTGCCCAAGATGGCCCCATTCACAGACAGCAGCACTGAGGCCACCGCCCACACCCCTCTGTTAGGCTCTCAGCCTGCGAGATCCCGAGGCTGCGTCAGCCCCCACCTTCCACTGCGTGGTCATAAGAGTGAGGGTGAAGGTGGTGGTGGTGCCATTTGTGGCTACATGGTGAGCACCGTCCCGCCACGTATTCCGGCAAGTGTCCATGTGCTGCCACACGGTCCCGGGGCCTGGGACCAGTCTCGGTGCAGCTGCACCCTCGTGTGTGATCTTAACTTGGCCACAGTATATCCCTATCCCCCGTATCTTCAACAGGACTGCGAGCACCTCCCTGCTTGCCTTTTAGGCCCATGAATAGTTTGCAACCAGCCTTTGGATTGCCAGTTCCTATGGTAACACCCACCAGCCGCATAGCTTAGCCGGCGCTGGGTGCTATTCTGAGCACTTGGCGGGTCAAATTCATTTGCATCTCCCTGCAGCCTTGCAGGTAGGACCTGTTAAGTGACCCCATTGCACGGATGAGGAGACTGAGGCAAAGAGCACAGTGAATGCTGGGTCGTGTCCCCAGCGTGCAAATGCTGCGTTCTGTGCGGGCCTCTGACCTCTCTCCTCCCCTGCAGGGACAGGGGCAGACCCGCCGGTCAGCGCCAAGAGCAACCACTGCCTGGATGCTGCCAAGGCCTGCAACCTGAATGACAACTGCAAGAAACTGCGCTCCTCCTACATCTCCATCTGCAACCGTGAGATCTCGGCCACCGAGCGCTGCAACCGCCGCAAGTGCCACAAGGCCCTGCGCCAGTTCTTCGACCGCGTGCCCAGCGAGTACACCTACCGCATGCTCTTCTGCTCCTGCCAGGACCAGGCTTGTGCCGAGCGCCGCCGGCAGACCATCCTGCCCAGCTGCTCCTACGAGGACAAGGAGAAGCCCAATTGCCTGGACCTCCGCGGCGTGTGCCGGACCGACCACCTGTGCAGGTGCGAGCACTGCCTGGCTTTGGGAGGGGCTGATGGGTGCTCTCCCTTCTCTGCTTCTTTTTTTCAAGACTTATTTATTAATTTAATTATTATTCATTTTTTTAAGATTTATTTACTTATGCATACAGAACTGGGGTACAGGCCAGAGTTGCAGGGGCAGTGAGAAGATTCACCAGAGACAGAGTGGGGAGCAGAACAGGCTGACTGACGAAGTACACTGCTGAGGGGAGCAGCGGGCGGGTCAGGAGAGGTCTGCCGCGCCATGTGGTCACCTCCGGGGCGGGCAGGGATCGAAATCATGCTGAAGTGGCTTTAGCTTCCAGTGCTGTGCTTTAACCTGCTGCGCCACCAGGGAGGGCCCTATTAATCATTTTTAAAGACTTATTTATTGATGCATACAGAAATGGGGTACAGCCAGAGATGCAGGGGTGGTGCGAGGATTCACCAGAAACAGAGTGGGGAGTAGAACAGGCAGATGGATGAAGTACCCTGCTGAGGGGAGCAGCGGGCCAGGAGAGGTCTGCTGTGCCATGTGGGTCACCTCCCGGGCAGGGATCAAACTAGTACTGAAGCAGCCACTGCTTGGCTTAGCTTCGTAGTGCAGTGCCCCAACCTTCTGTGCCATCAGGGAGGGCCCAAAGATGTATTAATGTAGGCATACAGAACTGGGGTACAGGCCAGAGGCGCAGGGGCAGTGAGATGATTCACTAGAGACAGAGTGGGGAGCAGAACTGGCAGATTGATGAAGTACACTGCTGAGGGGAGCTGTGGGCTAGATAAGAGAGGTTTGCCGCGCCATGTGGGTCACCTCCAGGCCTGGGATCAAACTTGCTCTGTAGTGTCTGCGGCCAGCTGCCTAACCCGTTATGCCACCAGGGAGGGCCGCCTTCTCTGCTTCTTCCAGGTCGGCTGGGCTAAGCTCCTGAGCCCAGCAAGGAAGGGGGCTGGGCTTGGGCAAGATGAACTGTCATCATTCATTCATTCATCCCTCCATGCTCTCATCCATCCACTCCTCCATCTCCTCATTTATCCTTTCATCACTCCATCCACTCATCCCTTCATTCATTCAGCACAGTTTATGGCTTGTCTGTTCTGTGCCCAGCCTCATCATGGGGAAAACCAGGGTGAACAACCCAGGCAACTTATAATTTAACATCTCAGGTGGCTAAAGGCTCCACGCCTGCAAGGAAAGACCTTCAGTGAGTTTAGCCCCTCTCTAAAGGGAGCCCCACCTAATCTCCAGGCAGGCACCAGTGATGTGGCCACTTGAGAAGGTCAGCCAGTAAATGCGAATAAGTGTTTGGAGGCTTTTGGTGTTTGGTTACAGTGGGTTCAAATTTGCCTCTTGCTGATACTTCGATTTCTCATTTGTTGTTAAACATGCTCCCTGAGGGGCACCCAGACTGGCAAGGGAGACAGACAAAGAGCAGTTGGTGCAGTGGGGGAGGGCTGTTGGCCCGGGGTGGGAGGGACGTCTGCCCCGGCCTGGGGTCCTGAGGAGGGACCTTGATCTGGGCCTTGGAAAATGAGGAGGAAAAAGCCAGGGAGTGAGTCAGCCAGAGCAGCACGTGCAGAGGCTGGAGGGCGGGGGAGAGTGGCAGGGGAACCTCAGTGGGCACAGGCCGAGTGTGGCCGAGACGCGGGAGGCCGCTGCGGAATCAGGCTTTGCAGTAGTGCTGGTGCTAGAGCGTGCTCGCGGCGTCTGGACCCTGGCTTGTCTCACTTAATCTGTATGGCAAGGTGAGGAAGAGGGTACCATCTACATCGGCCCTAGGGGGAAGTAGAGCCACAGAGAGAGTAAGCTGCCCGGGTCATATGGGCTCGGACATTTCAGAGCTGGGGTCCGATCTGCTCCCTTTCCTGTGTAGCCGGGTGGCCAGGGCAGTGGGAGAAGTGTCAGTGCACTTGACAAGACTGGGTGACGGGCTGAAAGTTCCTGGAGGTGAATGTCACGTCTCTTTGGTTTGCACCACAGCCTGGCCTCCCATGGCGTGTGCTCCGTGACCCTGTGCGTGGGGAGGGTGGGGGCCGCCATGTTTCCTGGCTGAATAGCATTGGGTGATGACACCGAGGCGGGGAAGTGTCGGCGTGCAGCATTTGGGCTGCTTCAGGCACCATTGTCATCCCCGTGGTAGTGTGTGGGGGCATTTGGACTTGCAGATTTGGGATTCAGGACAGGGACTGGAGTGGAGAAGTGGGTTTGAGTGTTGGTGTCTCCTTGGAGAGTCACGGTGGTGAATGAGATGGTCCCGGGGAGAGAGTCTAGGCTGGAGCTGTCCTGGGCATTGAGTTTAGGTGATGAGCGATGCCACTGGGCTGACAGTGAGGCAGGACTCCAGGAAGGCACACAGGAGGCGGAGCCTGTGATGGGGGAGGGCCGAGGCATGATGCTTCAGTGTGTGCATGTGAGACCGTGTGTGAGCATGGGAATGAGTGTGCAGGTGTGCATGAGAGCATGTACCCATTGCCCTGGGTGCAGGTCTGGTGGAAGCAGATGTGCAGGCAGTGGTATAGACCCCCTTAGGCTGGCTGAGGTTGGGCTGTAGGGAAGGGGCGGGGCAGAGGTGCTGGGCCAGTACTGCTGGAGTCTGGCAGCTGAACCCCAGAGCTAGCTGCAAGGCTCAGCAAGAGTGTGAAGAAGTGGGGCTTTCTTTTTTGCTCACGTAAAAATATTTACGACCCTCCCTGGTGGCGTAACGGGTTAGGACACAGCACTGCAAGCTGGCTGCAGCCGCCTCAGTGCGAGTTCGATCCCAGCCCCGGAGGTGACCCTGAGCTCTGGCTCGGCAGACCTCTCATGACCTGCCCGCTGCTCCCCTCAGCAGTGTGCCTCGTTGATCTGCCTGTTCTGCTCCCCACTCTGTCTCTGGTGAAACCTTTCACTGCCCCTGCTCCTCTGGCTTGGACCCCAGTTCTGTATGCATTAGTAAATAAATCTTAAAAAAAATTCCAAAATTAACTCAGAAGTCAAATTTGATTTAAAAACATTTACCTTTGTTATTTATGAAACTGAGGCGACTTAAGATAGAACCATGCCTACAAGGGGACTGCCCTCGCTCCTAAAGGGAGCGGCTATGTGACCTGGCAGAAACACAGCAGACTGGATACGCTACATAATACCCAGACATGAGAGGAGGGAGCTTCTAATTTTTGGGTCCAGCATAGTCTCTTCTGTTCTAAATGCTCAGGTGACCTTGTGGAGCCATGTCACACATAGGTATGTGGAGTGATGGGATGGAGGAGGATCAGCTTCTGGGGGAGCTGAGGGGCGCATGAGCCCAAGGGCCTCGGGTGTACCTACCCACAGCTGCGGGCACACAGCTTGGGCACATCCTGAGCAGAGGGGTACCTGGACACCAGACCTGCGGGGTGAGATGTGTTCTAGGGAAGGATGTTACGTGTCATTCCTGTGGCTTCTGAGAGCTTGACTGAGAGCTGAGAATTGGAGCACAAAATAGTAATAATTCGTACAAAAGGTGTACGAAATGTGCCAATGCCTGGTAATCATGGTTGAAACTGTAGATCTGGGCCCTCCCTGGTGGTGCAGCGGGTTAAAGCACAGCACTGAGAAGCTAAAACCGCTTCCGCATGAGTTCGATCCCCGCCTGCCCCAGAGGTGACCCACATGGCGCAGCAGACCTCTCCTGACCCGCCCGCTGCTCCCCTCAGCAGTGTACTTCGTAGATCTGCCTGTTCTGCTCCCCACTTTGTCTCTGGTGAAGCCTCTCACCGCCCCTGAGCCTCTGGCCTGTACCCCAGTTCTGTATGTACAAATAAATAAATCTTTAAAAACAAAAACAAAAACAAAAAACTGTAGATCTAATGTTCTTCCCAACATGGTAGTAGCTTTGTGTGAGAAGCCAGGGTTCTGAATTTCGTGTTAGTGACACCTGTGATAGGGGTACAGACGTGGACCTAGGATATCAAGCTGTGCGTTCTGACGTGAGATGGGGTGACGGATGAAAGGGTAAGGGCATGGGTTGGGCTAGGAAGGGTGCATGTATCTAAGGCAGGTTGGGGTGAGGAGATAAGGACAGAGAAATTGGAAAGAGCAGTGGGTATCAGAACGCCCTGGGTCCAAGTAGGCGAGACAGCGATGGGGTCCGTGGTTTGTGGCATCAGGAATGACCTGGGTAACAGGAACAAAGGTGGGGAGAATGGGCTGAGGTGTAACGGGCCGGGGAACGCGAGTGGAATGGAGTGGGAGCCGCGAGCCGGAGTGGGCGGGGTGCGGGGTGTCAGAGGCCCTGAACCTAGTTATTTGAGGTCAGATGCCCACCGTGCCGACGCAGTCAGTCAGAATTGGTGGCTTATAAGAAATCTGTATTTGTTTATAGAACCAGAGGAGCTTTTGTTTGTTTATTGGTGGGGGAAGCCAGGATTAGGGGGCTTGGGATAAATTTCACATGGAAGAGGTGTTTAAACAAGACAGGTGTGGGGAGGGTCAAGAACGAGGCGTCCTGGGGGCTAAGGGCTGGTGATTTCCGAGATGCAGCCAGCTGTCAGGCAGCCTGCTGGGGTGTAAACTTAAGTAACAGCGACAGAGAGTCCCACAGGAGCCTGCATCTGGGTGGCTGAGCTGGGTGGTGGGCAGAATGCTCTGGAAGCCCCTGGGTGTGACGGAGTGGGCTCCCGGCTGGAGCTGGGCCTTCTCCCCACCTCCTGCAACTCCCATCCCCACACAGGTCCTGCCCTGGTAGGAGAGAGAGCAGGAGAGGGATTGGGGGTGTGGGGAGACCTGACCACGTGTCCTTCAGTCACCTTGCCAGAGTGGAGGCTGGGGGTGCTCTGGGGAGCAACAGAGAGGAACCGCCATGGTGGGTGGAGGTCAGCACCATGGTCACCCTGGAGCCCCGAGACCTGCCTTGGCCCTTGCTCTGCCCCTGCTCTTCTGAGGGTTCCAGGCAAACTGTTTCTCTCGTTGTGCCCTCAGTCCCACTGACTGCACAAGGACGCGTCGCTGAGTCCAAGGTCCCTTCAGGTTGTGGGTGGCGTCTGTG